CGGGCAGCCTGATCTAGGCTAAGTGAGATTTATGGAAAAGCAGTGGGGAAGCTGCACTCTCGGGAAGCTGCAGGGAACTGCAGGGGGAAGACCACGAAAGCAGGAGAAGCGGCCCAGCCCTGCGTGGAAGGTGCAGACACGCAGCAAGGAGCAAGAGAACAGCAACGAGCCCGGCAGCTTGGAACTGCAAAAAGCACCCGCGCTGGCAAACCCGGTGAGGCCAAAGGGCACGGGCCCACGCCACTGTTGGTACAGCTGCACCGTTTTTGAGTCTGGCCCAGATCCCTCAGGGCAGTGGGGCAGTGGTGGTGGTGGGGGGAAGCAGCGCACTTCTACCTCCCTCCCCCCCACAACAGCTGTGGGAGGGCTGCCACCATCTTTTTTGGACATAAGCAGGTAGCAGCTGCTCCAGCTCCTGTGTGTGCACCCAGCAACTATTGGGCACCCTCCGCCCAGTCAGCAGGAGCAACCACAGCAGATGAAGAGCAACGGGCGGGGACTGTCCAGCTCGCCAACGGCACCCACTGGCAATCGGTGGGGAGGGGCAGCCATCCCTACGGAAGGGACCCTCCTACGCACCCAACACAGCTGTGCAGCCAGCAGGGCTGCTGCCGGTGGGTACCGAAAGTACCTGTGATCCAGAGATTCTACCAGAGAAAAATCCATTTCCCCACTGACTTTGATTCTGGCTGGGAGGACCAGGGTCCATCCAGCAGAGCATAACACAGGCGGGCAGCGGTTCTGGGAACACCTGTCTCCCTGCTCCCCGGGATGGGACTGGCTACCGGGGTGAGGTGTCCCTCTCGTACTCCTTGACCAGGAGAGCCACTGGTGCTGAGACTGAGAAAACTGTGACCACGTGAGAGGGGCAGGGCGCAGCTGGGTTTCCGGGCGATCACGGAGTGCTGATGCACACCCCCAGAGCTCCCTGGTTGCGTGGAGCAGCTCATAGCAGCGGGGACCGTGCTCACAGGGATGCCTGTGCAGACCACATGTGTGGTTCATGTGGCAGTGCGGATGAGGGTTGGACACACTGGGCACTAACACCTGGCCATTCTTCAGCTTGAGAGACAGGAGGTGAGGGGGCGGTCACACCTACAGAAGTGACCATTCCTCTCCATCCTGTTAACCAGAGGAAAGCTACCATGCCCAACTTGGGTGCTACCCTGCATACTTATCCCACCCTGGAGCACTGACCAGAGCTCCCTCGCCACACCCACAACACACCGCTGGGTAATCACAGATAGTGCAGGCATTCCACTAAGCCACAGAGGCACAGCTCAAAGATAAAAGCCATCAGAGGAAAAATAAACCAACTAATTCTACAAACGCTTAAAGATAAATGCAGAAAATCAAGAAACAAGAATAAGGAAGACACCATGAACCTCTCCCCCTAAAAGAAGACAATAACATTTCAATACTAGAATGTGAAGATGAAGAGACTGAAGAACTGCCAAAAATGGAATTAAAAAATTAATCACATGATGACTCAAGAGCAATCAGAAGCAAATCTATGAACTAAAGAAAACCAAATATGATATGAATGAAAATTTTTTCCATGAAATTGATATTTCAAAGAGAAATCATAAACCCTATAGACTAGAAGACAATGGTAAGATATAGTCCAAGTCCAAAGACAAAAAACTGTCAGCCGAGAATACTGTATCCCGTAAAGCTTTCATCTATGAATGAAGGTGAAATAAAGACCTTCCATAACAAACAGAAATTGAAAGAATTTGTCAACACCCATCCAGCCTTACAAAAGATGCTTAAGGGCCGGCGCCGCGGCTCACTAGGCTAATCCTCCGCCTTGCGGCGCCGGCACACCGGGTTCTAGTCCCGGTCGGGGCGCCGGATTCTGTCCTGGTTGCCCCTCTTCCAGGCCAGCCCTCTGCTGTGGCCAGGGAGTGCAGTGGAGGATGGCCCAAGTGCTTGGGCCCTGCACCCCATGGGAGACCAGGAGAAGCACCTGGCTCCTGCCATCGGATCCGCGCGGTGCGCCGGCCGCAGCGCACTGGCCACGGCGGCCATTGGAGGGTGAACCAACGGCAAAGGAAGACCTTTCTCTCTGTCTCTCTCTCTCACTGTCCACTCTGCCTGTCTAAGAACAATCAGGTAATAACATATGCAAAACAAAAGATGCTTAAGGATGTGCTGCACACAGAAACACAGAAACATGGTCATCACTACAAATGAAGGCGAAGGCAGAAAATCCCCCAGTAAAAGCACAAAGGAAATCCAAAATAATGATTAAGGGGCCAATTCAACAGGAAGATGTGGCTATTATAAATGTATATGCACCTAATTACAGGGCACCTGTCTATTTAAAAGAAATGTTAAGGGATCTAAAGGGAGACATAGACTCAAATACAGCAGTAACAGTGGGGGAGCCGGTGCTGTGGCATAGGGGGCTAAACCTCCGCCTGTGGTGCCGGAATCCCATATGCGTGCTAGTTCAAGTACCAGATGCTTCTCTTCGAAGCCAGCTCTCTACTATGGCTTGGGCAAGCAGTTGAAGATGGCCCAAGTTCTTGGGCCCCTGAACCCATATGGGAGATGTGGAAGAAGCTCCTGGCTTCAGACCGGCTCAGCTCCAGCCATTACGGCCATCTGGGGAGTGAACCAACAGACTGAAGACCTTTATCTCTGTCTCTCTCTCTTTGTCTATCTCTCTCTATATATAACTCTATCTCTCAAATAAATAAATAAAATCTTTAAAAATTTAGTAATGGTGGACTTCAATACCCCACTTTCAGCAATAGACAGATCAACCAGACAGCAAATCAATAAGGAAACAACAGAGTTAATCAACACTATAGACCAAATGGATCTAATAGATGTCTACAGAACTTTCCTTCCCACAGCCACAGAACACACATTCTTCTCATCAGTGCATGGAACTTTCTGTAGGATTGACCACATGCTAGGCCATAAAGCAAGTCTCAGCAAATTCAAAAAAATCAAAATCATGCCATGCATTTTCTTGGACCACATGGATTTAAGCTGGAAATCAGCAACTCAGGAATCTCTAGAACATATGCAAACACATGGAGACTGAACAACATGCTCCTGAATAAACAGTAGGTCATTGAAGAAATCAATAGAGAAACAAAAAATTTCTGGAAACAAATGAAGATGACAATACAGCATATCAAAACTTATGGGATACAGCAAAAGCAGTGTTAAGAGGAAAGTTTATAGCAATTGGTGCCTACATCAAGAAATTAGAAAGGCACCAAATAAATGAGCTATCAATGCATCTCAGTGACCTAGAAAAACAAGAGCAAATCAAAACCAAAACTAGTAGGAGAAAAGAAATAATTAACATTTGAGAAGAAATAAACAAACTGAAACCAAAGAAACAATACAAAAGATCAGCAAAATGAAGAGCTAGTGCTTTGAAAAAATAAACAAAATTGACACACCACTGGCCAACTAACCAAAGAAAGGAGGAAGAGGACTTCTGTCTGCCAAAGAGATACACAGAAAGTGAAGCAGCAACCAATAGAATGGGAGAAAATAATTTCAAACTATTCAACTGATAACTAATTAATTTCCAGAATATAAAAAGAGTTCAAGAAACTCAACAACTACAAAACAAACAACCTAGGTAAGAAATGGGCAAAGGACCCGAACAGACATTTTTACGAGAGGAAATTTAAATGGTCAACACACAGATGAAAAAATGCTCAGGATCCCCAGCTATCAAGGAAATGCACATCAAAACCACAATGAGGTTTCACCTCACTCCCGTTAGAATGGCTTTCATATAGAAATCAACAAACAACAAATTCTGGTGTGGATGTGGGGAGAAGGGTTGGTGGGAATGTGAGCAGGTGCAGCCACTGTGGAGGATAGCCTGAATATAGACCTACCATGTGACCCCGCCATCCCACCCCTGGAAATTCATACAAAGGAAATGAAATCAGCATCTGAACAAGTCAACTCAGATGTCCATCAACTGAAGGCCAGATAAAGAAGTTGTGGGATATGTATACCATGGAATACTACACAGCAGAAAAAATGAAGTCCTGTCATCTGCAACAAAATGGATGCAATGGGAAACCATTATACTTAGAGAAATAAGCCAGTCCCAAAAGGACAAATACCATATGTTCTCCCTGATCTGTGGTAAAAGGTAATCTACAGGAACGAAACTGACACCTTGAGATGCTATGATTTTGAACAGCCCTTGTCTTGATTGTTGAGGAACAATGCTTTTCTTGTTTGTTTGTATGTTTCTGTTCTTTTTTCTTTTTTGTTCATACTATTTGGTGAACTCTCTACTTAGTACAGGGTTAGCCTTATGAGTATAAACTTAACTGAAAACTGACCCTTGTAAAGAATAAGAATGGGAAAGAGAGAGGGAGGAGGAAGACAGGTGGGAGTATGGGCAGGAGGGAGGTTGAGGGGGAAGAATTACCATATTCCCAAATTTGATATATATTAAATGCATGAAGTTTATATTCCTTAAATAAAATTTTAAAAAAGAACATTATATTCTCTTCGATTACACTAATTTACATATATCACCATCACCTTAAATACCAAGTAGAGAGAAATTTCTATTTAATCATTTCCACTGTTCCACTTACTTAAATATGTAAAGACGTCTGCTCCACTCCACAGGCATAACAATCTCGTCTTGAATACAAAGCATTCTGTCTCACAAACAGAAGGTCAACTTCCAATACAGCACCAAGTGGCAGGGCCTTGCAGAGCACTGTGGGCTAGATCTGGTCTGTGGCTTCTCCCCAACAGTAGGCTGCTTGGAATGTTCTAGAAAATCTGGCTCTGTGCCAAGGAATTGAGGGGCACATTTTTTTTTTCCTTGCAAATCAAATGACACATCCATTGCAGACCCACCCTGGAGGCGCCAGGAAGAGCTGGGTGGAGTTAAGTGGAATTTATCCCTGTGTTGGTTCTCTACAGGTCATGGCTGGGAGCTGCAGCCCCACGTAGACTGTGGGCAGGAGGTAAATGGTCCTTTGCTTTTGTGTTCTCTGACAGGCAGAGTGGACAGTGAGAGAGACAGAGAGAAAGGTCTTCCTTTGCTGGTGGTTCACCCTCCAATGGCCGCCGCGGCCAGCGCGGTGCACCGATGGCAGGAGCCAGGTGCTTCTCCTGGTCTCCCATGGGGTGCAGGGCCCAAAGACTTGGGCCATCCTCCACTGCACTCCCGGGCCACAGCAGAGAGCTGGACTGGAAGAGGGGCAACCGGGACAGAATCCGGCACCCCGACTGGGACTAGAACCCGGTGTGCCGGTGCCGCTAGGTGGAGGATTAGCCTAGTGAGCCACAGCGCCGGCCAATGATCCATTTTTATATTCAGAAAATTCCTGAAGGGCGTGAGGCAACTGCTCTTTGACTGTGGGCTGAGTTCTCCTGGTATCAGGTAATTAATGCCCGTGTCTCTGCACAGGAAACTGGGGAAGTGCACTTATGTCCGGTCAGCAGACGCAAACAACCAATCCAGCGGCAAGTGCCTTCCAGGACCTGGCCATAGGCTCTGGAGTGCTGGACCTATAGTTGGAAAGACTGGGTGTTAGAAACATATCGTTTCCCTCAAGTTAGGCCACGAACTAATCTGGAAGGTGAGATTGATGGAACAGCTGAGAATGTTTTGGGGGAGGGGAGGAAGACACAGGAGGGGGGGACCAGACTCGGCGATGGGAAGCTTACTGTGCAGCTACAGTAGCTTACATGGGGTTGTGTTGGGTGAGAGCGATACCCAACAGACAGACTTGAAGGGAGCACCCAGAAGACCACCCACGCTCGCAATAAGTCACTGAGGAGAATTATTTCCTCTGCACCGCAAGGTGACTACAGAGAGAGATGATGTTCTGTATACTTCTCTAAAGAAAACTAAACACGATTTTGAATGTTTTCATCATAAAAAAAGTTGAGCGTTTGAAGAGACAGATATGCTTACAGAGTTCTTGAATTTTTCCTTCTATCCAACTGAAACTTTGTGTTCTATTTTTTTAAAGATTTATTTTATTGATTTGAAAGACAGAGTTAGAGCGAGAGAGACAGACAGACAAGAGAGGTGTCTTCATTCCACTGGCTCACTCCTCAAATAGCCACAATGGCTGCAGCTGAGCTGATCTGAAGCCAGGAGCCAAGAGCTTCTTCCAGGTCTCTCATGTGGATGCAGGGGCCCAAGAACTTGTTCCACTGCTTTCCTGGGCCATCAGTAGGAAGCTGGATCAAAAGCAGAGCAGCAGGGACTAGAACTGGCGCCCATATGGGATGCCAGCACTGCAGGCCAGGGCTTTGACCTGCTACACTGCAGCGCTGGCCCCAATTCTGTATCCTTTGATCTGTGTCTCCCCCGCCTCTGCTAACCCCTGTTCTAGCTCTGCCTGTAGGAGCTCCACTGTTTTACATTCCACATGCATGTGTGATAATGCAGTGTTTTCTCCCAGACTTGCCTTACTGCATTTCATGTGATGTTCTCCAGATCATCCATTTGTTACTGCAAGTGACAGGATTTCCTTCTTTTCTTCTGAGGCTGAGTGGTATTCCGTTGTGTGTGCACAGCACAGTTTCTGTGCTCATCCATCCACTGACAGACACTCCGATCTGTGTCTTGGCCACTGTAAATAACGCAGCCACGAACACAGGCGTGCAGGTGTCCTGCTGACATACGGACTTCACTCCCTCTGGATATGTGCCCAGTAGTGGGGCTGCTGGGTCCTGAGGCAGTTCCACTATAATTTTTTTTGTAAAACTCATGCTGTTTCCCACATGCCTGTACTAATTTCCATTCCCACCAACAGTGTGTGAGGGTTCCCTTTCCTCTACCTCTCTATAACGGTTGTCTCTTGCTTTTTTAGATAACTGCCTTTCTAACAAGTGTGAAGTGATATCTCCTTGTGATTTTAATTTGCATTTCCCTGATGACTAATGATGTTGATCATTTTCCTCATGTACTTGTTGGCCATTTGGATGTCTTCTTTTGAGATGCATCTGTTTAGATCCTATGCTCATTTTTAAACTGGGTTATTTGTTTTCTTACTATTGAGTGTTTGAGTTCTTTATACTCATGTATTGTGGATATTAGGTCCTTATCAGATGCATGGTTCACAGAGAGTTCTCCTACTCTGTGAGTTGTTTTTGCACTCTGTTGGCTGTTTCTTTGGCTGTGCAGAAGCTGTTCAGTTTGATGTAATCCCAATTCTCTATTTTTGCTCTGCTGCTTGTATTTTGGGTTCCCATCCCTCCCTCCGCCCCCCGCTGCCCAGATCAATGTCACAGAGATCTTCCCTATGACTTTCTCAAGTAATTTCACAATTTCTTGTCTTCCATTTAAACCTTTAATCCATTTTTAATTGAGTTTTGTATGTAGCATGAGATAAGTGTATTATTGCATTGTTCAATAGACTGTCCTTTCTCCACAGGGTGTTCTTCACATTTGTTGAAAGTCAGTTCACTGGGTGGGTGCTGTGGAATGAGCGGTAAAGCTGCTGCCTGCAGTGCCGTCATCCCATCTGGGCACTGGTTCAAGACCCAGCTGCTCTACTTTCAGCTCAGCTCTCTGCTATGGCCTGGGAAAGCAGTGGAAGATGGCTTAAGTCTTTGGGCCCCTGCACCTGCATGGGAGACCTGGAAGAAGCTCCTGGCTCCTGGCTTCAGATTGGCCCAGCTCTAGCAGCTGCAGCCATTTGGGGAGTAAACCAGCAGATGGAAGACCTCTCTCTCTTTCTACCTCTGCCTCTCTGTAACTGTCTTCAAATAAATAAATAAATCTTAAAAAAAATCAATTCACCATAAGTATGTGTGTTTAATTCAGGGTTCTCTATTCTGTTCCACTGGTGTGTTTGTGTTTATGCCAGTCATTACTATAGCTACAGAGTACGTTTTTATGCCAGTAATTACTGTAGCTACATAGTATGTTTTGAAGACAAGTGTAGAAAGAGGTAAGCACCCCCACACAATAAAGGTCATTTATTAAAAACTCAGTGAATACCATATTCAGTAGTGAAAAGCTGAAAGTTTTTTTTTTTTTTTTTGTCTGAGACCAGGGACAAAACAAGGATGCTCACTGTCATTATTTTTACTCAACATAGTATGGAAGTCCTAGACAGAGCACTCAGGTGTGAGAAACAAGTGAAAGGCATCCCAACTGGAAAGGAAGAAGTCAAATTACCCTTCTTTGCGAATGACATGACCTTATATTTAGAAAACCCCAAAGATTTCACCAAAAAACCTGTCAGAACTCACAAATGAATTCAGAAAGGCTTCAGGATATAAAATCAACATAAAAAATCAGTTGCATTTCTACAAACTAATAAACTATCAAAGAAAAAATCAGGAAAACAATAGCACACACAATAGCTATAAAAAGATAATAAAATGCTTAGGAACAAACTTAACCAAGGAGGGAACGGAACTTTACACTGAAAACCATAAAACATGGATGAAAGACACAAATAAATATCTCATAGGTACGAAGTGGAAGAGTTAGTGGCTAAAATACCCACACTGGGGCTGGCATCATGGTGTAGTGAGTAAGGCTGTCACCTGACGCCAGCATCCCAGATGGGTGCCAGTTCATGTCCCAGCAGCTCCACTTCCGATCCAGCTCCCTGCTAATGACCTGGGACAGCAGTGGAGGATGGCCCAAGAGCTTGAGCCCTCGATACGCTCCTGGGAGACCTGGAACAAGCTTCTGGCTTCAGCCTGGCCCAGCACTGGCCCTGTGATCATCTCGGGAGTGAACCAGTGGATGGAAGATCTCTGTCTTTCCCTCCCTCTCTGTAACTCTTTCAAGTAAATAAATAACTCCCAAAATCAAAATGTCCATACTGCCCAAAGTGATGCATAGATTCAAGGTAATCTCTATCAAAATTCCAATGACATTTCTCACAGAAATAGAAAAAACCTCCTAAAATTTAAATGAAACCACCACCAACCCGGAATATCCTAAGCAACCTTGAGCAGAAAGAACAAAGCTGGAGGCATCACACGACCGGAGTTTTACGCTCATTTTGATTTTTAGAAATAAGCACTCATTGAGATTACTGTTTTTTTTGTGGGGGGGGGCGGTGCTGACTTACACTTTGCCTCATCGCCCCACCTCCCTTTTGGGTGGCAGCCTGGTGCCTTGGCCACATCCATGGGCATGCCATGTGGCAAGTGCATGGGTTCAGAGGTGGTCCAAGGCTCTGCCACTTAACCTCCAGGAGGTAAAGCAAGCTCCCTAACCTAGTCTGAAGTTGCCCAGGTTTCCAGAGACTCTCTGCCTTGTCTTCCTAGTTTTTCACTCCCTGCTGAACTTAGTATCTTAATGGCAGCAAAAATGCCTGCCCCCACCCCCCAGTCCCAGACTAAAAGCCCTCAGCAACCTGGGAGAATGATTTTGAAATACAAGAGCCAGTTGTTTGTGTTGGATGAAGTCAGCAGATTGTCACGCCTGAGGCAGTGTGTGTAAAAAGCACTTTGGAAATGAAATTTGCTTTACTCTAATAGCAAGTGTTTTTATCTTTTCTAGCCCACAGGCAACCGCAGTATTTTCCTGCAGTCATGCTGGCACAAGGGACACTGGCAGATAAACGACTTCTCGTTCTGCTCTGGACAGCCTGTGCTGCAGAGGACCAGCCTGCCAGGAGGCTGTGGGAGGACTCCTGAGGGGACAGGAAAGGAAACCGGAAGGGTCGGTCCCAATCCTGTAGCCGTTCATCAAAAGGCGTGGGGCAGTGGTTTTTATGCTCCGGCTCTGGACACATTTTCCAACTCGGGATTCCAATTGACTGGTGAGCACTGCGGTCAAAATACAAACTGAAAATTGGTGGGAACGCGTCACCCTCTCACGGCACAGCACTTGGAAACATCTGTGCAGCAGCCTGAAACACGGCTGCCCCCACTACGGCCCAGCTGAGGTGCTTCCAGCTCATTAGTATGTAAATCAGCTCATAAATATTTCCTGCAAGTTCACACTCGCTGAAGCTTCCAGCTATTCATCGCCTCCTTTGGTGTCCCTTAGCCTCTGCTTCTTGGGCCATGGGTGGAGGACAATGGGTCTCACTGCATATTAGTAAAAAAGCAAAGGAGGAAACCCTGGGAGAGGCTGACAATGAGAAACAGGATGGAGAAGGCAATTTTACTCCACTTCCTTTATACAAATAAAATTATCTAGTGCTGGACCAGGGAAGTCTGTATAAAGTAAGGCCAGCCCCAAAGCGTGTACACAGCAGGCCGAGCGGAATGAATGTTCCTTTCACAAACTCTCTGAAAGCCTTGGAAAGGGAACGAAGCATTTCGCTGGGGGCAGGCGCTGGACTTTCACAGTGGGGAGACGGTCGCTCGGTTACAGAACCTCTTCTGTGCACCGTGAGCGCTGCAATCCTAATCACAAAACAGAGACGACGGAGGCCAGTGCCACCGTGATGTTCCGGGTGGTTCTCAGCCTCCTGCCAGAGCTCAGCACTAAAACCCACCAGGCAGGCCAGCAGCCGGCGCGTTAACGAGTGAGAATAAAATGTAACCAATGGCAACGAGGGAAACAGCAAATGGATCACATTTCATTGAAGGGCTGCTTATCTAAGGGCCATTCTTTGGTGTATCCCAAAGAAAGAATACAGTGCTTTCAGTTACACTAGGGTGGACTATTGATTGTAAGAACATCCTGATTTTAGAGACGTGAAACAATGTGAATCAGTGAAAAGTACTAATTTTTAAATTTGGCAAAGAATGAAGATGATCAGGGGCTAGAGAACGTTGAAGACAGAGCTGGTCCCTGTAGCAGGTTCTACTCTAGGAAGCCGCAGCTTTTCCAACTTCTATAGCAGTGACATCAGCAGAACAGGGAGACAGCGCTGCTGACCATGGGATCGGTCACGCCGTTCATGCTCCACCAGGCTTCTAGCACCCAGGACCTGCCAGACCCAGGCCATGAGGCTCCAGTTTTGGGCTAAGGTGTGCCCCAAACTGGTAAATGCAAGCCAGACTGCTTGGCCAGGCACCCAAGCCCCCACAGCACCTGATCTCAAGCTTTCTCCCTCTTTCGGTTTTCGGTGTGTGATCCATACTTCCACCAAATTAAGTGATAGAACCTTCTGGAACCCACAATGTGGTGTCTTGGTCCCCTGGCCCTGCCTGTACCTTGTCACTCCTGGCATGTTTGGCTGCACCATTCTTTCTTGTGGGGGCTGCCCTGTGCATGGTAAGATCAGATCCACCGGATGTCGGTATCCCTGCCCCCAGCTGTAACAGCCAACACTGTCTTCAGACATTGCTGCGCGTCCCCGGGGGAACGGGGCTTGTACCACGTGTTGCAGTGAAATAGCCAATCATCGGCGTCAGCGGTCTGTGAGCCTGGCCCTGGCTCTCGGTGTGGACGTTTGACTGTTTTTGCCACTTCTCACAGCACCTCATTTTCCCATGGCAGCCAACCCTGGCCCACTGAAGGCAGACTTGAGGGGGCACTAAGCACTGGAGACAGAGTCTTGTCCACCATGGAATGAGCAGGGTTGGGTATGACTGGAAAGGGGTGACCCCTGGGCGGGACGGCACAATCACCCCAGCCTCCCTTGGGTCCCTCCTGCCTCCTGCCCGTTTTCCCATTTTGGCTTCTAGGTACCCACCCTCTCTGGATTCAGTGCCCTTCCAATACGTGGCCTTTCTGGCTGAATATGCCAGCTGTTTCCTGTCACTCACCTGCAGGGACACGGCTGTTCTTCAGCTCCGTGTTTTGAACCAGGAACTTCACATCTCCAAACTTGCTCCTCTTCTGCATATTGAAAACAGAAACTGTTTACCTTTAGAATTTGCAAAACATGTCCATCCCACAGTCTCTGCCCCTTTTCTGTGTTTTTAAATTTTTACTTATTTGTTTGAGAGGCAGAGAAAGAGACAGACTTATAGTCAGAGAATGGGTTCCCATCTGTTGGTTCACTCCCTCAAATGCTAACAGCTGGAGCTAGGCCAGGCTGAAGCCAGGAGCCAGGGACTCAACTGGGGCCTCCATGCATGTGGCAGGGGCCCAAGTACCACAGCCATCACTGCTGCCTCCCAGGGTGCACTTTAGCAGGAAGCTGGAATGGGGAGCCAGAACCCAGACATTCCCATAGTGGATAGGGTACCCCCAGCTGTAGGCCCAATGCTGCCTCCACCCCTTCCAACCCTACCTGTCCATCAGGTGAGCCTCATAACCAAATCCTGGAGACCACGAGAGAAGCCTTGCTGGTCACTCAGTGTTGGCTGGGAGGGGCCTTTGTCCCCCGCAGCCTCCACACTGCTTCACTTTCGCTCACTCCTTGCTGATGGCCTCGCTGCCCGCTCTTTCCAGAGGGAGGTGCTGGGGGGGTTCCTGCCAGGAGCCCGTCACACCCACTGGGTGCTATTCTATCCCCAGCCTGGCTCGAGCCTCTTTCAAGAGGATGGGTCTCGCAGCTCTGCTCGGTTAGCAGCAGGAGACGCGACAGGAGCTCAGGGTCCACGCTTTCTGTTTCTGCTCTGACAAACAAGGCCAGGTGCTTCTTTGAACAGCCCCGTTCCAATGGGCAGGAAACAGAGAGACAAAGGCGGGAAGGATGCCCAGAAAGCTGTGGGGAGGCACAGGGTGGTTTCCTTGCTCGGCTTCTCTGCGGCAGGGGAGCGGCCCTTGTCTCAGCTTCCCCTTTGCAGGTGAGAACACCCGGGTGAAGGGCTCTTTCTGCTCCTTCGCACCCCGGGGCCAGGTGCCGAGTGTGGTTCCTGCTGCTGACTCCGGTGTTGGACTGTGGGCCCTGATTCCAGTGCTTACCCCCTCTGCCAACCCTGAGCCTGGGGGCGAAGGTGGGGACTGCCGTGTGGGCCTCAGAGCTGAGGTGCAGGCAGGCCGGGATAGGCTGCCAAGAGGGGGTTCCTCTGCCCCTGCCCACAGTCCTGGCCCTGGTGAGCCTGCATCCCCAGGGTCCGTCTGTGCATTTTCTGGTTTTAGCTGTCTGGCAGTAAGTTTCTAGTCTCTTTGTAGCAAAATGCACAGCTCGTGTCATTTTACATGTCATGTATTACAGAAAGCCCAGAACAAAACCACCCTCCTCCGGAGCTCACCAGGCGCTAGGATTGCTCCTTCTTCTAAATGTGCCGCGCACGGGCCAAAAGCTTTCCCTGGGCAGAGAACAGGGAGAGCTCGGCCTGGGCCCTGGGCTTGCTGCTGGGCCCCTCTCCCTGTGTGCTCACGACCAGCAGGTGCGAGATGATCCCATAACCTTTGTCCACCAGCTCCTCTTTCCATGTCTCCTCTCTTGGTGAAGGGCACCATCATACACATCACTGCCTCCCCCCACCCCCTGCCACATGCCTGCCCCCCAACATCCCAGGGGTCCACAGGCTCTGCCTCTCCCCTACCTCAAGGACTCTGCTCTGCTGGGATTTCTGGAGAGTAGAGAAAGTCAGGCTTGAATGACAGAGACAAACCTGAAGTCACTCTCAGTAATGCCTGCTCCCCAAGTCCTCGTCCCCACTCCAAGGCAGGCGCCGGTCCCTGTGAGGGGCTTGAGGTGTGGCCTGCGGTAATGATTCCAGGCATTTCATCTGTAAAATTGTACATATAGAAATGCATCATTCATTCGCATGAACGTCCTGTGTAAACCGTTTTGCATGTCCTTATTTTATCCAGCATGTATCCTGAAGGTCTTCCCATGCCCACTAAGTGAGTCTGTTTGCACAACTGTCTAGGACTCCAGCATAGGGTCCTCTGGTCGTTGGCCAGTGCCTTGCACCCCTCCCATGCAGTCCCTGTGGCTCCCACCCCACTCCTCCCTGCACAAGTGGGATGATGATCCAAATGGGCCAGGGTCAGATGAGGGCCCACTCTGGGCTGATAAGCACCATTGCAGGGGCTCTCGCTGGTTGCTCAGCTGAAGGTAGCCCCGGCCTCCCACTGCCCTCATATCCACATGCTGCATCTGACACATCCCAGGAGCCACTGCGCTCACTTGCCGCGATCTCCGCTGGGATCCTGGGACTTGCTTTTATCTCATCGTCTCACCCTGTCTGTCCCCTCTGTTTTAAGAATTCTTCATAATTTCTGGCTCGCAGAGAGCATTACTTTCGGCTTTCCTGGTCTGTTTTACATTTTTAACAATAACTCTCCTGTCACTTTTGTTATTTGATACCTTGCACATGGCCTTGTAATTATCTATTTACTTATCAGTCTCTGCACTGGACTCCTTACAGACAGACAATAGCTAATTATCTGTCTGTCTGGCATTTGGTAGTCACTCATGTTTCTCACATAAACAACCAAGTCAAAAATTGACCTTCATTCCCCTTCTCTGGATAGTTCAAGAAACTCTGTATTTTTTAAAGATTTATTTTATTTATTTGAAAGACAAAGTGACAGAGAGGGGAGAGGCAGAGAAAGAGATCTTCCACTCTGTGGTCCACTCCCCTAGATGGCTGCAATGGCCAGGCTGAAGCTAGGAGCCAGAAACTCCATCTGCATCTCCTGTGTGAAGGCAGGGGCTCAAACTCTTGTCTATCCTCCACTGCTTTCCCAGGCACTTTAGCAGGGAGCTGGACCAGAAACAGAGCAGCCAGGACTTGAAGTGGTGCCCTATGGGATGCTGACATAGCAAGCACTGAACGCAGTCAGAACACCGCCCCAGTGCTTTCTAATGCTCACAGTTTTTGGCTACTTTGTAATGCACTGCAGTATTATTCAGCAAATATTGACTCTTTCTGCTGGAATTCAAGAAAGGAAGTGGACTTCTCCCTTGACTTTAACCTTGGCCACTGCGGTGCCTTAGGCCAGTGCATGTTACTGGGCAAGATGCGAGTGAAGGCTTGGTGCATGCTTGGGTGGTAGGGTTCACCCCCTCACACACCTGCTCTGCTCAGTGAGACGAACCTGCCTGAGGTTGAGGCTGGTCAAGGATGACCAGCAAGTGGAGGAGACCTGGACCAACCAGCAGCTGGCATCCAGGTGCAGCCCAGACAAGCCGAATCCCAGTGTATCCACAGATGGGTGAGCGACAGGGAGGGGCTCGCTGCTGTCTGCCACTTAGATGTGCATGGGGACAGTGACTCAGTGTTCTTGTGGCACTAGCCGACTGCTCTGTGCCTGTATCAGAACCTGCCAGGGTGCTTGTTAGCTGGGAGTTTCTGAGCCCCACCCTGGACCTAATAACTCATCATTTCCGGGGTGTATTTAGACACCTGTGCTTTATCAGGTTCCCCAAGAGAGTCTCGTGCTCACCGCTGGGCTTCAGGCGAAATTTGTCACCACACCATTTTCAGTGGCAAGGAGAGAGCAGCAGGCAGCACCCTTGGAGCTGCTCCGGAACGCTGGTTTGAGAGATCTGGGCTGTAGAGAAGCCAGGACTCAAGATTTTCTCACTAAATCGCTGACTTGAAAGAGTGGGAATTGAGAATCGGTAGGGACTTCTTGAGGTGGCTTAGAAACACACACTGCTTAAGAAGCCAGCCTTTCACACTGCGGACCTAGATGTGAATACGTTAAAATTAATCAGCCTGCAGGACATCAACACTGGGCATTCAGGACACTGGGAAAATGAACTACAAGATCAAGGATCAGGTCCTTCCAGTCTGTGAGCCATGGTCCCTCCGCGTGCAGATGAAGGACCCAATGACAGATGCAAAGACAACGCCTGCCTGGGACGACTTCAGCCCTCTTCTGACCGCTGGGGCCTCCTGAGCCCTGCTGGCTGTGGAGGGCCCTCTCAAGTGGAAGACAGGACACAATCACTCCTCCTCCCTACCCTGAAGTCACCGCAGGCCTCGGGTCCTCCCAGCCTTTGTGCCAAGTGACCCACATCCTGACAGGAGCACCCCCACCCCAGGCTCTGCAGCTCCACGCAGCGTAAGTACTACTGGACGTGAACACAGTGGACAGCAGACCTCACTTTGCACATGGTCACCCATTCACGTCATGAAATCCTCCAGCGGCATGCAGAATGGGGGACCGGAAGCTGTGGAAGTGATACGCTGGGACCGGCAGGCTGCAGGAGCCAGCGCTGATCTGTGTCATCTGCTCTTCTGTCACCTGCCAATCTGGGAGAACGGGTTCCTGAAGCACACAGCCAGGATTTACTTACTTCTCTTGTAGCGATGGAACATCATGCACCTAGCGAACTGCCCTGTGACCTTTCCTACATGACTCATCGAAATCAAGGCTTCACCCTGTGGGCTTCACACCTAAAACCCCCCGTGGGGCTCATATGGTTAATGATGTCATCCTCGTGATCTTATTGGACGATTCCTGATGGCATCACGTTGCAAAATGCAAGCATTTACAGGACAAGAACTGTGCCTTTGATATGTTATTTTCTACTGAGGGTGCCTTAAAATATTAGTAATTATTAAATAGGGGAACAAAAACAGTAAGCACGTGGGCAGAGCTTCCTTGTAAGTCCAGTGTCCCCACAGCTAACTGGGCAGTTCTGACAGCATTGTTCTCATCACGGAGAAGCCCTGGAGCAGCTGAGAGCTGCCAGCCATGACCGCATGGCAGGGTTCAAGGATGCTTCCCCGTGTCCTGAGCGATGGTCCAGAACTGGACTCCTCATCTGTGCTCCGAGGCAGATGTCACTGGGGTCTGTGATGGTTAGTTTTGCGTGTCAGTGTGACTGGCCTATGGATGCCCAGCCAGCTGGTGGGACATTACTGCTGGATGTGGGTGAGGTGCGTCTCGAAGAGACCTGTGTTTGCATTGATGAGCTGAGCGAGGCAGCTGGAGGCCTAGCATGAGCAGGTATCCCGTCCAGTGTGGCCCTGCACAGGACTGGAAGGGGCAGGAAGGGCAAATTCACTTCCTCTACTTGAGCCCAGACATCCATTTCCTGCTGGCTCGCACACACAGATATATTTGGGTTTGGGCTTTCGGACACAGACTCGGAGTTCTCAGAGCCTTGGACTCCGGCGGGTTGACCCCAAGCTGTAGCTCAACTCACTCCAGGGTTGCACGAGCTCAGGCCGAGGCCAGACTTCTGAAACCACATATTTGCCTGCTTCCTCCCCTATTCTGCTTCCTCCATTCCCTTCTAGGCGCTTCCTGAGTGCACGCTCTCCTTCTCTGAATAAATTGCCCACACAACAGTTCCTATGTCAAGTTCAAGGAACTTGTGCTGAGACGCCCCCTCTCCCCCAAGGGAGTGTGACAAATCATTCCCAACGAGACAATGACCTGACACGGAGAGCAAAGTGGCCAGGTCACACACACTGTGTGACAAATCATTCCCAACGAGACAATGACCTGACACTGAGCAAAGCGGCCAGGTCACACACACTGAGGGGTCTGAAACCCATAAGATGCACTCAAGCCCACCTGAAACACACACACTCCTGTCACCCGGCACGTCTCAGGTGCAGCTGATGGGGCTCTGAGTGTCATCTTCCCAGACAGGAGCCTTCACTTGAATAACAAAGTCTTCAACTCCAGTAGCGTTGCCAACAGGGACTCATTCTTCATGTAATTGCTGTGCTTAACCCCTGGACGATTCTTCTGCTATAGCAGCTTGGGAAAGGTGGTGAAGCCAGTGTTGTGCTCACACATTTAAGGAACAACAGCATTTTCAAAGATGAGTAACTAATTAATAATAATTGCGATTGCCCACTTGTCACAGGCAGGTGTGGTGCCAGGCATTTCACCCACAGACTTCTCAGCAGATCACCCAGGGATCACCTGGTTAGCTGAGCCAGGGCCCTGGCACAGCTCAGGTCATTGGAGGCTTTGCTCCGTGTAGCCGCGGAGCGCAGGCACAAGGTGGTGGGACACGGGTGCCATGGCTGACAGCCTCGCCCTGCGGGAAAGGTCAGTCCTTTCTTTTCCGGAACAATCAGTGGTCATCACGTCCACCTCCTCAAGGCCGTTTTCCTTCTCCTTCCAAACACTTTCCGTCTCAGCTATAACTGTTTCCGTTTAATGTGCCACTTGTTCATCAGAAGCAATGCTTTTAGCTGAGCGACCAAAAGCAAGAATGTGTTCATTAAACACGGACACTTCTTTGAAGTTGAGGTAACTGAGAAGTGGCAGATGGAGAATGCGGGGATGGGATCCCCGAGAACTCCTGAGAACGTGCTGCCTGCAGACTTGCTCCCCCGCTCCTCTCCGGGAGGGGCTCCTGGGTTTTGGGGTGGGTCCTCCAGTTTCCCTGCAGACAGCGGAGCTGTTTCCACTTCTCGTGTCACAGGTGTCACTGCAGTGACTGCACTTGTTCATGTCTTTCTCCATTGCTTTACTTTTGCAAGGGGTTCCAGAATTGTATCTTTGCTTTAAAAAAAAAATATCACTGGCCGGTGCCGTGGCTCACTAGTTTAATCCTCCGCCTGCGGCGCCAGCACCCCGGGTTCTAGTCCCAGTCGGGGCGCCGGATTCTGTCCCGGTTGCTCCTCTTCCTGTCCAGCTCTCTGCTGTGGCCAGGGAGTGCAGTGGAGGATGGCCCAAGTCCTTGGGCCCTGCACCCCATGGGAGACCAGTAGTAAGCACCTGGGTCCTGGCTTTGGATTGGCGCAGTGCCAGCTATGGCAGCCATTTGGGGGGTGAACCAATGGAAGGAAGACCTTTCTCTCTCTCTCTCACTGTCTGACTCTGCCTGTCAAAGAAATAAAAAAAATTATTTAGTTGAAAAGAAGAGCGAAAGAGGTCGATCTTCCACTTGCTGGCTTACTCCCCAAATGGCCACAACAGCTGGGGCTGGAGCAGGCCAAAGCCAGGATGCAGGGACTCCATCCTGGTTTTCTACAAGGATGACTGGGACCCAAGTACTCGGGCCATTATCTGCTGTCTTTCTGGGCACGTGAGCAGGAAGCTGGATCAGAAGTACAGCAACAGGGACTGAACCAGCACTCCAATATGGGATAGCGGCCTCCCAAGCGGTGGCTTAAACTGCTGTGGCACAATGCTGACCACTGCATTTTTAATTTTGACCAATTTATCAAATTCCTCCGGAAAGTTACTAAACTCATATGCTCATCACAATAGTACCTCTGTGTCCTCACCAATAGTAAGGTTAATACATTTTTCACTTCGCAAATACAATTAAAAGTGGTATCTCAGCTTTGCCTTGATATGCACATCTAATTTTGGGTGAGATTCTTTTTATGGTTTTGGCTGTTTGCTTCTATTGTTTTGTTAATAGGTGTTTGCCTGCATTTCTATTTTTTCCCATGAGCATTTTTTTCTGTTATACTCACATCTGTGAACATTTTTTCTGTCACTTTTCTATTTTGTTTATTATATTTTTGACATTTAAATTTATACAGGTTGTGTCTTTATCCAAAATGTTTGAGAATAAAATGTTTCAGATTTTGGAGTTTTTTGATTTTGGAATATTTACTTAAATCTTATCATTTGAAATCTCTGACCTAAAAATAAAAAATCCAAAGTTTTAACTATACCTATATATATATATACACACACACACGTGTATATATGTTATTTGAAAGACACAGAGAGAGAAGCAGAGATCTTTCATCTTCTGGTTCACTCCCCAAATGTTTGTGACAGCTGGGGCTGGGCCACGCCAAAACCACGAGCCAGGAACTCAATCTAGGTCTTTCTTGTGGGTGGCAGGGACCCAATTCCTTGAATCATCACCCGCTGGTCCCAGGGTGCACATTAGCAGGTTGCTGGAATCAGGAGTGGAGCTGGGACTCAGTACCAGCCAATCTGACAAGGGATGTGGCATCCCAAGCTGTGTCTTTTTTTCATTAAGATTCATTTGTAACTATCTTTACACACAGAAGATCAACTTAGTATATACCAAGTAAAGATTTCAACAGATTGCACCCACACAGACACACAAAGTATAAAGTACTGTTTGAAGACTATTTTTTTTTTTTTGACAGGCAGAGTGGACAGTGAGAGAGAGAGAGACAGAGAAAGGTCTTCCCTTGCCATTGGTTCACCCTCCAATGGCTGCCGCGGCCGGTGCGCCGCAGCCGGTGCGCTGTGGCAGGTGCACCGCGCTGATCTGAAGCCAGGAGCCAGGTGCTTCTCCTGGTCTCCCATGGGGTGCAGGGCCCAAGCACTTGGGCCATCCTCCACTGCACTCCCGGGCCACAGCAGAGGACTGGAAGAGGAGCAACCGGGACAGAATCCGGCGCCCCGACTGGGACTAGAACCGGGGGTGCCGGCGCCCCAAGGCGGAGGATTAGCCTAGTGAGCTGCGGCGCTGGCCTGAAGACTATTTTTACTGTTAATTTTCATAGCACAACACATTAAGCACAAGGATCCTACATGAGGAGTAAGTGCACAGTGACTCCTGTTGTTGACTTAACAATTGACACCCTTATTTATGACGTCAGTAATCACCCGAGGCTCTTGCCAAGGCTATGGAAGCCTCTTGAGTTCACAAACTCTGACCTTATTTAGACAAGGCCATAATCAAAGTGGAAGTTCTTTCCTCCCTTCAGAGAAAGGTACCTCCTTCTTTGATGGCCCATTCTTTACTCTGGGATCTCACATTTAGGTCATTTTTCGCCATGGTGTCTTGGCTTTTCATGCCTCAGAAACTCTCATGGGCTTTTTAGCCAGATCTGGATGCCTTAAGGGCTGATTCTGAGGCCAGAGTGCTGTTTAGGGCTTTTGCCATTCTATGAGTCTGCTGTGTATCCCGCCAAGCAGTGTCTTAACCACTGCACCAGACATGTGTGTGTGTGGTTGGTGCTCAACCAGTCTTGGACCCTGGAGTATTTCAGATTACTAGGGATGTTCAGCCTGTGTCACATGGTCAGATTCAGTGTTCTTTCTTTTATGCCTTCTTTTTAAGAGATTCAGTGGGCATTTTGCAGTTGTTTTTATTATAAAACATAAGGCAAAAAGTTCACAGTAGAATTTGAGAAATGTGGGAAAAGTGACGTAAGGGGAAAACTAAGTGTGGATCTCCTGCCGCTGGGGAGGATCCGTCTGTTGTTCCTGGTTGTTCAGTCTGTCTTTCTTTCTTTCTTTCTTTCTTTCTTTCTTTCTTTCTTTCTTTCTTTCTTTTTTCTTTTTTTTGACAGGCAGAGTGGACAGTGAGAGAGAGACAGAGAGAGAAAGGTCTTCCTTTTTCCATTGGTTCACCCCCAAATGGCCGCTGCGGCTGGCACACTGCGGCCAGTGCGCTGCGGCCGGCACACCGCGCTGATCCGAAGCCAGGAGCCAGGTCTCCCATGCAGGCACAGGGCCCAAGCACTTGGGCCATCCTCCACTGTACTCCCGGGCCACAGCAGAGAGCTGGACTGGAAGAGGAGCAACCGGGACAGAATCTGGCGTCCCGACCGGGACTAGAACCTGTTGTGCCGGTGCCGCAAGGCGGAGGATTAGCCTAGTGAGCTGCCGCGCCGGCCTTTCATCAGTTTTTCTAGTCTGGACGATAGCGTGTGACTTTGGAGGCAGACTCCCACGTCAACAGGTGTATTTTGTAAGTCTCAATGTATTCTAATAGATTTCATGTATTAATAAATTTAATTTACATTTAGTAATGTATGTGAAAGGATCACTTTTTGTTCTCTACTCTGTCCCTACCCATGCAGCCAGTGTCTTTCTCCTTTCCTTTCTAGGTACAGATGCTATGGGTGGGTGGGCATTTGGCTTAGCCATTAAGCTGCTAGAGAGCCCAGAGCCCTGGTTCCACTCCCAATTCCCACTTCCTGTAATGAGCGCGCTAGGAGGCAAGCGCAGGTGCTGGCTCAAGCACCTGGATCTGTGCCCTCATGCGGGAGACCTGGATGGAGCTCTGAGCTCCTGGCTTAGGCGTGGCTTGGCCCCAGCTCTTGGAAGCATTTGGGGAGTCAATCAGCAGGTGGGAGATCTTTCAAATAAAAATTTTTAAAAATATCCTGCGTCCAGAATGAGGGATGGTGCAGCTATGGGTCTCCAGGGGGCTTGATACAAGTCATAGGGGGTTCAGTTCCTTCCTTTCTTAACTCCGGCCTTATTTCTTTGAATGCATGTAGTGGTGGGAAGCCATGACATCACGCCAGATTTATAGCTGAAAGTTAAAACCCTGGGCAGCTCCTTTATGAGCAGATGGGGCTGGGCAGGGAGAAGAGAAAACTCAAGGACAGAGTCTGTCTGTCGCTCCCCGGTCGCAGAAGAGGCCAGTCTGAGATGCCCGTCCTTCGCCCCAGTGTGAGGTCTTAGCACGGCTGGCTAAGGCAGTTCTCTGAGCCTCCCACAGCTCAGAGTGGACACACGGGAGCAGCAGTCTCCTGAAGAGGTCTGGCTGATGAGGAAATGCTTCCTAGTGAGAAGTGGCCCAAGAGCAGGTGCTGGCACCGTCCTATGTCAAAGGCCAGTGCGGGCCTGCAGGAGCCTCTGTGGACGCCAGCAGGGACAGATGTTGGCCACTGGTGTCCCCTGGAGCAAGGACACAGCTGAGGATGCCAGGGGGGGCAGGTGCCAGCAGGGACGGATTCGTCTCAGGTGTCTGGATGTCCTGCAGCCTCTCCTGCCTGCCTCCCCAGGGCATGGGTGGGGTGGGGGGAGGCCTGGCAGGGACAGAGGTTGCCTTCTGCTGCCAAGCAGAGAGGGCGTAAGACGTAAATGAATCACTCATGGGAAACAGAGTTCACATGTTTGCCTACCTGAGTTTTGCAGCTAGAAATACCACAGCCATTACAAAGCAAAGGTGGAACTGAGACTTGAGAGAAGGTCTTTGACCAAGACGTAAAGAGAAACGCTCTACTCTGGACAAAGCACTCAACATAAAGAGGACTCTGTAGGAAAAAATCTGTAAACAGCAGGAGCTCCAGGCAGCTGGTCCTCGGTGCTACGCAGATGAAGTTTCAATGACCTCGAGGCATGGCTGTCACCCACACCCAGTCACAGGTGGCAGTGAATCTAGGGGAAGACATAGGCACCTGTGCCCTCAGCAGGCTCTGCTCTGGCCCCCTGCCCTGAACTCGGCAGGCTACAAGATGCAGAAGCAGGAGGGTGACCACACTCATGTAAAAGCAGCGGCCCTCGGCCCGGCTCCTCCTCAGACTCACCCGAGGCTCTCGCAAACGCTCAGCCTCGGGCTCCTAGCTTCTCGCTGAACTGGTTTGCATCTGTGGGATGCCGAGACCTGGAGGAGACAGGAAACCCAGCTCCATGTCGTGGTGTAGCCTCGGCGTGGATCTGCTCTGGAGTAGGCTAACAGTTGTCCCCTTGTCTGAAGGTTGGCAAGAGACCTTACAATTTGTAGTTTGCAGCAAGGTAGGGCCAGCTGGATTGAGATGAGAATTTTTTCACTGAGAATTTAAGGTGCATTTGGCTCAAAATGGCAGAGAATTCAGCTCCCAGCAGTGTAACAATAGGGACTCATTCTTCTTCTAAAACAATAGGCTGGAGGCTGGCAGTCCAGGCTGCAGCGGCAGCCCAGAGATGACATCAAGCCCCAGCCTCTTCCTCTCTCTCGCTAATCCGCCATTCTCAACAGCTGCTCACATCCTGCTATGTAAACAATGGTTGTCACAGCTCCAAGCATCACTTTCTTGTACAAGGCAGGAAGAAGAGGGATGGTCCCAGCTGTGTTCGTCTCTTTTGTTATTAGGAAAAACAAAAGTTTCACAGAAGACCGTGAGCCACGCTGCGCCAGGCCCCAGGAGAGGCTGCACATGGATATTTGGGTTTTGTGGCCCCTGCACTGGACAGAGCCAGGGAGAAGGGGTAGGCAGGGCTTTGGGTCAGCCAGCCAACAACGTTCCTATCTGCTGACCACGTCCTGCCAATCATCACTCATGCTCATTTCAACTCCTGGGGTAGCTTTGCACTCTCCACAGCCACATCCCTAACTGAAACCACATCACCTGGGGCTGGCATTATGGCACAGTGGGTTAAGCTTGCCATGCCGGCACACCACAGCAGAGTGCCCATTTGAGTCCCAGCTGCTCTGCTTCCAATCCAGATTCCTGCTAATGAGCCTGCCACCCATGTGAGAGACCAGGATGGGGTTCCCGGCTCCTGGCTCTGGCCTGACCCAGGTCTGGCTGCTTTGGCCATCTGGGGAGTGAATTACCAGGCTGAAAATCTCTGGCAGTCTCTCTCTCTCTCTAATACTCTGCCTTTTAAGTAAAAAAGTCAATAAATCTTAAAAAAAAAAAAACACAAAATCACACTATCTATAGTGTCCACTTTTACAAAAAACCCCAAAGAGGTCTCTATTTTTGCTCTATTTGATGAAGTAATCAGGATATTTAATTCTGGTATGAAAGACAAAACAAGCAAGCAGGATCAGCTCCTAAGACTGGGACCCAGTGCTGGTGAGTAAGTGCAGAGCTTGTGAAATGCTGGCCAGACGATGATTACATAAGTAGCAGGTGAGACGCAGCAGAAATCATGAGATGTGCTCAACACAGACAAGTCATCAACCTGTAGGGCACACTGAGGACACAGAATAGACAGACAATAGGATGAGCCAGCAAGAGCCACTCACAGAAAGGGGTGATTACTCTCACGAGGCTGACAGATAAATCACCCCAAAATCAGCCACCTGGTGCTGACACCCAGTGTGCTCAGGAGTCACTTCCGGCCCCACACATGCTCTGAATTCCGGCTGTTCACGGCTATTTGGAGAGCTGCAGCTGCGGCTGCATGTTCCTTCCCCACACCCCCCCTCCATAGCAGGCGTACACCTTTGGCCTCTGGTGCCTGTCAGTGAGCCCCTTGCTTAGACCTCGGCTCTGGTCCTCGTAACGGTTCCCTCAGTGGCAAATGACGGTGGGGTGGGAGGAGGTACCACAGGAACAGGATGCAAGGAGCACGGCCCCTTCAGCTGCTTGCACCCCAGCCCAGGAGGTGAGCCCCATTTCTCTCTGCTCGCTGCACTGAACTGTGGGGTTGCAGTATTTTACTTGGCTCTGCGTGTTCTCTCTCCTGTGACCCAGCTCTGACTCAGGACAGCTCTCCTGCTGTGTCCCTGGGAGGCTCCCTGGCACCAAGGCCACTCTCGACACAGGAGTCCCCCGTGTTTGCCCACCGCAATGCCCCTTCCACACACTGCCTCGAAATGAGCATTGAAAACCGCAGGTCTGCTGAGGGTTCACTCCTGGGCAGACTTCCAGCTGCTCAGCGCCTGGTCAGGTCACGTCCACTCCTCCATCACGGGGTGGGGTCAGGCTCCTGGACACTAAGCAGCAGATTCGCACATGCAGAGTGTGTTCATGAGCATTCTCGGGGGCCTTGCAGCCCCACTCCTCCAACACGGACCAGTTATGGAGTGTAGGTTGCCCCCTGCAGCTGGGCCTGTGCGTGGAGATCCTACAAGGCACCGGGCAGCAGGACACGGTCCTACCCCACTTGCCCTTCTCCCGCCTCTTGCTTTTTCTTTCAATAAATGGAAAGCTGCCCAGAACTGGTTGCCATTGTCTGAATGCACTCTGCTCTTCCTCCTCCTGCCTGTGCCCCTGCCTCATGCCACCTTGGACCTGCAGCGCTCCAGCTGGCCTCCCCTCCCCCAGGTCACCTGTCCTGTGTGCAGAGGAGGATGGCACTGACGCTACACAACCTCCCCCGCAGCGCCACGTGAGGCAGGAGGCTGGGCTGCAGCCCTGCAGCAGCAAACACCAGGAACGAATGCCTGGTGGGAGTCAAAGGCGTCCATGACCCGCCCTCCAGGATGGCTTCCTGCTCTGACCATCTCCCGGCCCTTCCACTGTCCGGCCACCCCTCAGCCAGGGACGAGGAACCGGCAGAAGACAGCACACTGTGGCTCTACATTGTGCTGTGACACTTTAACAGCAGGCCACATCGGAAAGCACAAAGGGGCGCTGTGCAGGCACCCTGCAGCTGGGTTGGTTTGTGCCAGAGCCGTGTTGCTGCCTGGCTGCTTCCTGCTGACAGCAGAGCGGATGTGCTGGAATGCTGCCAGTGGGAACCACAGCAGATCGGGCAAAGCAACGCCCTGATGCCCACAGACCCAGCAGATCAGGCAAAGCAATGCCCTGATGCCCACAGACCCAAGATCAGGCAAAGCAACGCCCTGACGCCCACAGACCCAGCAGATCAGGCAAAGCAACGCCCTGATGCCCACAGACCCAGCAGATCAGGCAAAGCAACGCCCTGATGCCCACAGACCCAGCAGATCAGGCAAAGCAACGCCCTGATGCCCACAGACCCAAGATCAGGCAAAGCAACGCCCTGATGCCCACAGACCCAAGATCAGGCAAAGCAACGCCCTGACGCCCACAGACCCAGCAGATCAGGCAAAGCAACACCCTGATGCCCACAGACCCAGCAGATCAGGCAAAGCAACGCCCTGATGCCCACAGACCCAAGATCAGGCAAAGCAACGCCCTGATGCCCACAGACCCAGCAGATCGGGCAAAGCAACGCCCTGACGCCCACAGAGCCCGCTGGCCAGGGGCTTCCCAACAGCCCTGGGAGGAAGCAGTCCCTCAGCTCGCACACCACTAGCACCAGGAGGGACTTGAGAGAGCAGCCAGTCCAGCGCCCATAGTTGGTTAACCGAGGGAGCCGAGGTCAGCAAGGTATTAATCCTCTGTCTCACGGCTTGAGTGACAGCGCCACCCAAAACCTGGATTTCTTGAGTGCCAGGCTCACCTTTGTCCCACGCCTGTGTGTTGAAGCTCACCACTGTGCTTGTTTACCTTCTGCCCCTGTGCAGAGCAGAGGGCACTGTGTAAAAGCCCATGACAAGGTCACTGCAACACCCAGCTGTGTGAGGAGGGTGACCAGCTCCACCGCTGGGAGGAACAGTCAAGGCTCACTAATTGGGTGGCCGCGTTCACTTCTCTCCTCAAGGCTAATTACTTGTTTAATCAGGCATTTTGCCTTGATCATAAATGCTACCACATAAAATACTTGATGAATCGTGACTGTGCTGCGAGGATCCAACATACTGCGTGAAGTGCTTTCCTTAGAACTTAGGAAAACCAGACAACTCAACAGCTTTGAGGTATTTAACGTTTAAATAGGAGCAAATGCATACATTTGGGAATTGTTCTCTATTTCGTGCATCCGTTCACACAGGTAGGGAAACCAGAGGTAACTGGATTGTCTGTGGAAATGCTGACTGACCATCCCTTGCAGTCCCCAGCAGGCCACTGCACTAGCGTTAATTTGTCACTGAATCCTTCTTTGTGTCCCTGTGACACTCTCCTCCTGCAGCTTAAAGAACTGTGAACAAACCAACCCAGCAGAATCCTGGCAGTGGAGTGAGGAGGGTGGACAGCACAAAGCCCAGAGGCTGCCTGGGAGTCCAGTGCACAAGCGACACACACGTGACATGCGCTGTCAGAGCGTGTGTACCAAGCGGCAATGACTTACTTGTCCCCGGGCAGCTTTTAACACAGAAAAGAGACATCCACAGCCACGTGCCGCATTTCTGAGTTTCATAACATCTAACTGTAAACAATGTAAGTTAACACAGGCTTAATTTCCACAGAGTACCCTTGAGTGTGGTTAGAAGAGCAGCAGAAGGGTTGAAGATGCAGAATAAACAAGTCAATAGTTATGAATCCTAATAAATACTGAACTCCTATCCTGCACCACACTCGGGGTTTTAGCTCTGAAGGCACTCCAGAAAGTTCATGGAAAATGCATGTCATGAAAACACCGTGTGGATTCTGAAATAAATTATTTTTAAAAGTTTATTTATTTGAGAGACACAGAGAGATGCCATTCCCTGGTTCTCCCCCCAAATGCCTACAACAGTGGAGGCTGAACCAGGAGCCTGGCTCTCAATGCAGGTCTCCTGTGTGGGCGGCAGGGACCCCACCACTGAAGGCGTTCCCTGCTGATTCCCAGAGTGTGCATTAGCACCAAGCTGGAGTCAGCAGAGCTGGGACTTGGGCCCAGGCACTCACACGGCATGCGGGCGTCTCAACTAGCGTCTTAGCTGCTGCACTAAATGCCGACCATGAAATCTGTCTTTTAGTTCCATGTGTCCAGGAACTTTTCTTTATAAATTTTAAAATATATATTTATATGAAAGGCAGAGATACAGAGAGAGGGAGAGAGCCAGATAGACAAGGCTCCTACTTATCTACTGACTCCACAAATGCCACAAATATTCAGCGGGAGCTGGAAACTCAATCCTGTTTCCCATGTGAATTGCAAAGACCCGACGACGTGAGCCATCACCACTGCTTCTCGTGGTCTGTGTCAACGAGAAGCTGGAGTCAGGAGAGAGCCAGGTACAGGAGCTGGCACTGAAACAGGACGCAGGTGTCTTAACTGGCGTCTCACCACTAGGTTAACGCCCACCTTCCCCGGGGCGTTTCTTCCGCCTCCACGGCCCCCTCCACTTACTCATTCAACATCCCTAATGTAAAGACCTAAAATCCAGAATGTCCCCCAAATTTGAAACTTCCTGAGCACAGACCTGACTCCAAAAGTGAAAATCTCCACACCTGGCCTCATGCGGCAGGTCACACTCAAAAAAAAAAAAAAAAAATGCAGGCATGTAATTACTATGCACACAAGGTGTGTAGGAAGCCCAAATGAATTTCATGTTTACACTTGGGGCCCAGCCCCAATGTATCTCATCACGTACACATGCAAACATACCGAAATTCCAAAAAACTCCCGATCCCAAACACTTCCGCTCCCGTGCATTTGGCTGAAGGACACCCACTGTGAACCGATTTGCTGCTCTCAGGGGCTACCACTCAGGTCAAAGACAGCGTTTCTAAGAAAGCAGCCCAGGGAGTCCGTGCGAGTCGCTATGCCCAGACGAGGAGGCACATGTCAAAGAGGGAGTCCTCTAACCAGCTAGAGACCCCAAGGCTGGAGAGTGGGTTGTACTTCTCACTTCTTCTCCTAACGACTTTATTTTGGTCACTTTGGTACAAGCCCGGCGACCTGGTGACAGATGGCACGGTGGTCAGCCAGCAAGGCCTATCAGGGGGTGCTGGGACTGCCTGAGGTTTGGGCAAACACTTCAGCCCACACCGAGTCCCTCATCGTGGTGATCAGGCTGTGGCCTGACCAGGATATCCCATGTCTCCGTGTTTCCCCACCTGGAGAGTCCCTCCCCACCCCACTCCCAGATTCAAGGTCACTGGGAACCTCAGAACGCACCCTTATTCAGAACCAGGGTCTTTGCTGATACAACAGGGATTGGGATGGGGCCTAAATTCAGAAAGAGTGTCCTTAAAAGGAACAGGAGATATGGAGGGAAGAGGCCATGTGAAGACAGGCAGAGACTGAGGGAGGCAGCCACATTCCAGGGGGTCAGGAGGCACTGGAAGTGGGAGGCTGGGGGTTCCCCACCCTCCCAGGCACGGCGGCCCTGCCCTATAGCTCTGTAGGAGGCAAACTCGCTGCAGGTGTGGAAGAGACCACTGGGCAGAAGAGATGCCTCCCTTACCTGCCTTCCTTAATCAACTTTGGGCCATGAGGCCGGCCAGCGGGGCCGGGGTCTGCGGGCCCTCAGACCCAGGTGCAATGTCCTTCACAGGCAGGCTGCCAGCCATGGCTGGAAATCCCGTCTCCAGACCCACTGGCATCTCCCCACTGATAGCTTCCTGAGCTGCATGTGTGACCTTGCAGACTGAAATCACACCTCCAGGGGGTGCACCCTCACCCAGAGCGGGCAGGGGAAGGGGCTGGGCCCCTGGGGAGAGTTGGACTGGCTCCAGGAGACCCTGGCTGTTTTGTGGGAACTTGCGTTTTTAAATCACACTTCCAGGGGGTGCACCCTCACCCAGAGCGGGCAGAGGAAGGGGCTGGGCCCCTGGGGAGAGTTGGACTGGCTCCAGGAGACCCTGGCTGTCTTGTGGGACCTTGTGGCTTTAAATCACACCTCCAAGTGGGTGCACCCTCACCCACAGCTGGCAGGGGAAGGGGCTGGGCCCCTGGGGAGAGTCCGTCTGGCTCCAGGAGACCTTGGCTATCTTGTGGGACCTTGCGGTTTTAAATCATGCCTTCAAGTTAGCTGCAATCTTCCCCGCAGAGCTAGCAGAGGAGGGGGCTGAGCCCCTAAGGAGACAGTAGGTCTCCAGGAGACCCCCGCTATCTCCTTGAGCCCCAAGCCAACCAACATACATATGTAACCCCTGTCCACTGGGAACCCCCCAGTAGGATGACCAGTGAACAGATAGTAATGCCGTAAAAACCCGGGACGCTTCCTCAAAGCCAGTGTCCCGCTCGGGCACTCCGCCCGCTCTCCTCTCACCAGACACTTTCTCTGTCACGTGCCAATCAGATAAAAGTCTCTGCCCCTTTGCAAATTGTTTCCTGGCCTTTTAGTCCTATACTGAGCTGAGGAGGAGACCCCACGAGACTCACTCCGGCAACTGCCCTCCCCTCCGTGATCACTAACGGGCCAATTCCTAGCCTTCTCGGGGCAGAGGCTATCCTCCCCGGCAGAGCCTCCACAGCGCCAGTGCAAAGTGTGTTCTCCCGCCGTGGGTGCCTGGTGACTGCACTTGGTGTCCAAAACTTGCGGGGGTGGGGAGCTTTTGGCAGGAGCCCCTTTTTCTCAGGGAAGAAGACGGCCGGGGCTCCCCGGCTGTGTCGTTTCCCTGTTTCTCTGAAGTGGGCATCTGGGCCTACACAAGGCTCTGGCCTAGATTACAGTGGCGGGAGGTGAAAGGACTTGTAGTGGGACTGTCTCCTGATGCCAGGGGCAGACTCATCTTAGTGACAAGTGGGTGGAGCACTAATTAATCTGTAAGATGGTTCTGCTCCCAAGGAGAAGGCAGCAGGCAATTCTGAGGTGCGGGAGGACACCTGTTTTATAACTGTCTGCAGTTAAAAAGTACAAAGCTTCATTCCTGACTCGGGAATGCCTGGCAATCTCGAGGTATAGTTGGGCAGAGAAAAACTTGCTTGCGGGGGGGAAAAAAGAGCCGCAAACCTGAATCCAGGTTGAGCAGTTCTCAAGTGTGCGTCCTGGCGCACAGCAGACGCGGCACGTGCGGCTTGCTGGAGATACCGGCTCCTGGGCTCCATCCTGGGTCGCCTGCAGGTGATGCTCAGGGTGCTGACATTAGGGGTGCACAAGGAACACCTAATGCAGCACACCGGGGGCGGGGAGGGCCCCAGGCCGAAGGAGGCGGATCCTACTCGTGTCCAGACCAAGGCTGGGAACAGAGGCCCGGCATGCCAGCTGCGTCCTTCAGAACTCGGAGGCGCCTTCGAGATGGAATGCCCAGGGCTCTGGAGCCAAGTTCCTTAGTCTCCAGGGGCTTCTGCCAGCGCCGGAATGGCTGAGTGGGAAACACCAACAACCGTTGTGGGGAGGCAGCGGGAAGAAAGGCCCACAGCAGCCTCCCCCGCCGCCCCCCAGCAGGCCTGCAGGCCCACCAGGCTGCCAACAGCGGCTCCCTCACTGGGACCAGGAGCCTGGGGAAAATCAAGATGGCTCCCCACCCTGCCTCGCCCTCCTTCCTTCCCAGGGGACAGGGGCGTGGCTCGGACAGACTGCTGGGTGCTGCCTGTGGGCGCACACAGCACTGGAGCCTGGAGTGGCTTGAGCCTGTGAACTGTCTAGGACACAACCACAGCCTTCCTAACGTCTCTTCCAGCTGTGGACACTTTTCCTGCTGAACGTGTTCTCGTGGTCGAGAGATTCATCCCAGCGAGGAAAGCAGGTGAGCTCCAGGACCTGCTGCCTGCCTGCAGATGCTCGCTGGTCCAGCCCTGCACACCTCAGCCGGCTCAGCTCCCCAGGACGCGGCCAGCCTTGAGGACATGGCGTCTTCCCGGACCCCTTCCTCCACGCCTGCATCGCGCACACAGCAAGTGCTTCACACGGTGCCTGCACCCTTGGCTCCAGGAGTGCTGGGGACGAAGTCGGCGCCTGACACCTTCTTACGCCTCCACCTTCGCTTTCGTGGCCCCTCCCGCACACCACGACCTCGCCTTGTCCCTGTGGTGTCTGCTTCCTTCACCTTCCTACTGAGTTAAAATGCTGGCTCAGCTCTCTGGCTTGCTCCGACAACCCCATGATCCCAAGCATCTGAATTTCCTCCTTTGTGTCTCCATAAAATACACAGTATATTTCAAGAAGTTCATGGGTACTTAAAATTAAAATATAAGTCAGGGCTGGCACTGTGGCACAGCAGGTTAAAACCCTGGCCTGTAGTGCCGGCATCCCATTTGGGTGCTGGTTCAAGTCCTGGCTGTTCCACTTTCTATCCAGCTCCCTGCTAGTGCACCTGGGGAAGCAGCACAAAACAGCCTAAGCACTTGGGCCTCTGCCTCCCACGTGGGAGACCCAATGGAGTTCCAGGTTCCTGGGTTCGGCCTGGACCAATCTGGCTGTTGCAGCCATCTGAGGAGTTAACCAGTGGGTGGAAGAACTCTGTCTCTCCCACTCTCTCTGTGGCTCTGCCTTTCAAATAATAAAATAAATAATTTTTTAATAAAGGTAAGTTTAAGTTTATTTGTGTGCCAAAATTTCTGGAATCCATGCATATGGAGAGTAGTTAAAAAGTTCATGGAAAATGCATCTTATAGAAAAGACTATCAACTTTATTCTTTTTCTCATCAAAATAAGCTTAAATTTGTCCTTGAACCTTATACTATATACATAGTATACCTCTATTTTAAACACTACTGTATTCCACATATACATTTCCCCTCACCCAGACAGGCTATGGAGCCACGTCTCACTCCTCAGTCTCTTTACACTTAGCAAGAGCCTTGCACGTAGCTCAGTCTCCGCAATGCTGAAGGGAAGCTCACTGGTTTTTATGTGTTTTTTTTTTTTTTAGCATAAAGAAAATTTGGGAGTCTATTTCTTCTAACTTGTCTATAGTGTTTATTTTTAATTAGAGCAGTTTTCGTAGAAGTAGACAATAAATATGATTGCAATTGTTTGGCCCAGAGAAAGTAGGACACAATAAACTATGAAAAATAATCTGAAGCTGTTTGAAGTATTGTTGTCAACAGCAGATGTGGGGCTGGCATTGTGGCATCCCACACGGGCGCTGGCTCGAGTCCCGGCAGCCTCACTTCTGATTCAGCTCCCTGCTAATGGCCTGGGAAAAGCAGTAGAGGATGACCCAAGTGCTTGCCATGTGGGAGACCAGGAGGAAGCTCCTGGCTTGTGGCTTTGGCCTGGCCATTTCAGCCCTCTGGGTAGTGAACAAGCAGATGGACGATTTCTCTCTCTCTCTCTCTTTCCCTCTCTCTCTCTCTCTCTCTCTTTGTGTGTGTCTTTTTCTTTCTGTAACTCTTTCAAATAAATAAATCTTTAAAAAAGTCACAGATGCCTGGAGCCAGCAGAAACACGTGGCGAGTCATGGGGGAGGCAGGTTGCTGTGGCCTATTTGGGTGGAGGGCGAGCAGTACACCCAGTGGGGAGGGGGCATGGATAAAACTGGGTTCGACCCATGGAACTTTTGTTGTTATTGAGTGGTTAGGGCGTGTGCACATACAAATGTGCAAATATAGAATCTGACTTAGTGTTCTCTGAGTCTTCATGGATGAAGTGTGCTGAAAGGAAACACATGGAAACGCGGAACAAGAAGGAGAAATGAATACTGATTGTCTATGACCAGAGTTGAGAGTCTCAAGACAAGACTGGCTGATCTGCAAATGGCCAAGGAGCCTCCAAGGGACTTCCTTCAGCACCTTCATCCACCGCTGTCAGCTGCGGGAGCAAACCAAGGTCCCTGCTGCAGGAGACAAAGCTTTACTTGGAAAGCACTGTTGGGCCAGAAGAGCCTGTGAAAATCCCCACAGTGAAAGGCTGCTTGTCTGAGCCTTTGGAAACGTGCTGCCACACAAGTGCCCAGCAGGGCTCCTCCAACCTGGCTCTACTGCTCTCCAAACAGCTCTGGCAGCATCAAGCCATCCCCTGGCGAGTTTAACATATCATTTGCATTTATAGTGTAAGGTGGTTATTAAAGCAGGGTATTTTTGTAAGTGCAAACGTCTTCTCTCTCCCTTCTCCCATAGAGGCACAGTATTTAAGAACCTGCTGCTCAACCACCTG